TATTATTAATAATATCAACTATTAGATATCACTATAGAGGGAAAATACGAAATAAATTTTTATAAATACATTTTTTAAACTCTTAAACGGGCAGTATTTATAATATAGGAAATTCAAATAATTCGTTTTTTGACAGATGGAATAAATTGTCTGACCGTTTGACACTTAATGTCAAAGGAAGTTAGACAAAATCAAGAAAAATATACGTTTTCAAATTAGATCTTAAATAAGTTAAAAACGATTTATTTTAGGTCTAGAATCATGTATAGTTAAAATGTAACAATCCTTTTCATTAGTGAAATAAAAAAAGTGAGTTTCCATTTGAAAAAAAAAAGATTTATGATAATTTTTTAATCCCTCAATTCCATGACAGCTACCGACATTATTATACGACATTTGAACAATTTAATTTTTGAAATAGATAGGCATATAGGTCTTCCCTTGATGTCACAGTGGCTGTGGTAATCAGTTAATTTTACTTTTAGGCTATACACATTTTTTTGACAGGTAGTTTTTTTTGTCCAAAAATTTTAATTATTTTTTTCTCAAAAACGGTAAATGTTAGGTATAGAGTGTTTAATATCAATATTCATAAAATTTTATAGAGAATTTAATTGTGTAATAAAAAATGGGGGCACCCATTTAAAATAAGAAAGTTGCTGCATTTTCCGATATTTCCGGAAGTGCCGCCATATTGAAAAAAATTTTAACCGCTAGATCTCGTTGTAAAACAATGAAGTGCAAAAAATCTCCTATCTAGATATTGTGGTTTTCTAGAAACTTCTAATGCACGCTCAGCCTAGGACACCCTGTATGTCCATAGTGTCAATAAAAAACGGCATACCAAATTTCAGTAAATGATTGTACAGATAAAAAGAAAACCAAGTGTTCTTATGAATATATGTCCTAAGTTGCTTTCTAAGGAAGTTACAACCCTCAAAGGAGTAAATAAAGATAATATATTTATAAAGATAATAAACTTAATGCAGAAATTAGCACTCTTGTAGGAGATAAGGTCTTTTTTTACGCTTCTCTATACTATTATACTATTACAAGAGGAAAAACTTTTTTATTATTGAGATTTTGAAAAAATGCATTATTCATAAAATTTTTGCTTGTTCTAAAATGTTTAATCCCGCTTTTCCAAATTTCCATACCGTTTTAGAGAAAATTAGAAAAAAACATGAAAATGTAGTTGAATTTTTTCCTAAAAACTCTTAAAAATCAAAACGCGGAATGGTAATATAATTTTCGTTTTCATTCTTTGATAGATTGTTGTTGATAGATTTTTAATTAACGTCAAATTTTTTGCTCTTTTAAAAGTAGGCCAGTAAGCGAGGGTTTTACAGCGCTTTCAGATGGAGCGGACCGTACGCGCGTGGCGTCCGCGCGGATGTTTTTTCAATATAGCTCATCCCGACGGAGCATACGCGACCCAAGTGAAATCGTTCATATAAACTCATGGTACTTGCTCGAAGTCGCGGACGCTCCGCTCCATCTGAAAACGCTGTTACAGCGGAAGGTCCGCTCCATCTGTTAGGATCCGAATTCTGAACACCTGTACCGACTGACGTCAAATTTTAACAGTGAATAAAGGTATATGTGTGTGTGTAAGAAACAAAAGTTACATACTAGCGATGTGTGCTTTCACCCTGGGGGTGAGTGCTATTTTAATTGCGAAAATCAATAAAGGGATGAGAATTCTAAGCAAAAAATATTCTATAACATTTTTTTTCAGAAAATTATATCTTCCTAGTTTTTAGGATTGAAAATGTTGATTTTTCATCTAGAAAGTGAATATTTTTCTACCATTTTTTATAAATAACTCGAAAATCTTGCATTTTATCCAGGGTTTTATCGCAAAACTCATGTAAAGCAAAAATTAAGCTTTTAGAATAACTAAACGATTAATTTTTTGTTGATTACCGTAAGTGTAATCATAGCCGAGTTGTCGCTCTGTAAAGATGATTTTTTATTATTCGAAAACTAAATTGCAACCTTTTATCCTAAAAGAACTACACTATAACTATTGTGGGGAAATAGAGAAACACCAGGGCCCGAATTCTGTAACTTAGGAAACGCTAAGTGCTATAGACGCTCAGCGTATACCGAGTGCGTCTCAAAAGTGGCTCACCCTATAACTTTTTTATTTTTTCAGATAAAAAAATCGACATTTGTTATGTTAGTATATGACATAAATTGGGATTGATTGACGTATTCAGTTGTTTTTGGTGGAACTTCTTGTTTCACCAGAAATGATTACAACTTTTGATTTTTAAATGGCACAAATTTTATTCGATACATTCTGAATAGAAGGACATATGATATGTCAACTTTTGACATTCTCGCTAAGTAAAAAATCGTATTTTAAATTTCAATATAGAGTGCCATGGCTATGTTAAAAACACTAATTCTTAATCAAGGAGCCTTGGAAAAATAATTTGATCGCCTAATATTTTTAGTGTCTTCTCCTGGCCAGTTAGAAAATGCTCAAATCGTATTTTTAATAATATCTCAATTTTTTAAAATGGAACGAGGGTGGCTCATTAGCATATTTGACAAAAGCATTTTTTTCGAATAATTTAATACCATACACTTGGTATTTTGAGTCAAATTTTCGTTACGAACCACAAGTTATAATTTCAAATAAACCATATGCGAAAATGTCAAAAGTTGACATATGATATGTCATTCTATTCAGAGTGTTATTTTCTATCGAATAAAGTAAAAAATACCGAGGGTGCCATTTAAAAATCAAAAGTTTTAGACATTTCCGGTGAAACAGGAAGTGACCGAAAACAATTGAATGCGTCAATCAATCCTAATTTATGTCATAGCGTCTTCAACGTTTCCCTTGTATAATAAGAATAATGACACATCCAGAGGAAAATAGGTTGACATAACTCAACAATAGGTTATGAAATTCACGTAACATTGACATTTTTTATTGTTTTATCCACATTTGACTATTAGATACTGAGAAATTGCGATGCTGCCAATATGTGCTCAACGCGTATCCAGAAAACAATTCACACGGCAACGAGAATACCAAAATCGAGTGTTTGGCGTTCCGCTAATCGAATACTTTCGCTTACCGCTTTGAAAGCATAATGTTTTTATGTAAAAGTTCCAGAATTCGAGCTCAGTATACGCCTCATCACTGAGTACGCCGAAACGACAACGTCGTAGTCAACTAAGTCAAACGATATCGGTAATGGAGAACTAACCTCTGTAAAACCGTCTTAGGTATTGGCTGTCTGAGCCGGAAGGTATGAATACTCATACCTAGAGTCTCAGGGCTATGGCAGCTCTGAGACTGTATAATGAGTTATAACTCAAGAAAGGGGACACAATAGATCTATAACGTTGCGGTTATTAACTTTTCCTCTCGCATAAAATCTACGATCTACATGCAAAATTACACAACTAATAAATGAATCCTATTCGTACAGAAGAAAAAAAATTGTTGTTAAATTTCGTACACACTTGTATGAATTCGTAAGAAATAGTAGTAATCAGTATAAATAATAAGTCGCGGATATGTCAGACATTTGTTTTCTGGCGTTTCCTTTTTGAATTCGTCGTTCGAGTTCGTACGAACAAACAATATAAGTCGCCTATACGTATATGATCACAAATAGTGATGTAAAAATTCTAAGTAATCGTTACAAAGTAACAGTTACTTTACGAGGACTCGAAGTAACGCTTACCATTTGAATTTAGGACTCGTTACTCGTTACTATGCTAATTCGTTACTGTTGCGCTGGCAGTAATCGTAATCCCTGGAAAAGCACGAACGGAGGACTCGAAACTCGATACTGAAATATACTTTACTTCGACGTAGGTCTAGTTGTTATCAATATGTTTATGTTTAAAGTGTTGACTTGACGCCGGCCGGTGTTTTGGATGGCAAATGTGTGATATTTTTATTACAATTATTATGGGGGGGGGGATTGGCTCATTGGTCTGTCCCTTTGCCGTTTGTTGTCGCTTTTTATTTACGTAATTCCGCACGTTTTTTCAATTTTAGTTGACATAAATAATATAAGATATTATTTAGGGGTAGAGTGTGTTTTATTTTTTGATTTATAGTTGCTCGGTGGGCGAAGAATAGAATTGTTTATTTAGATTAATATGTCTTAGATATTAATTAAAAATGGATTCACGTTGTTCACAAAAAAATGTTAACATCTGAAAAAGCAGAGCAAATATTTATCCTCTTCAAAAAAGGATATTTCGCCACTTCCACTATAAGAAAATCTACAAAATAAAAATATAGTAATTTTTAGTAAACAGTGCTCCGTTAATCCAAAGGACAAAGGACAAATAGACATTTTTTAAATATTTTTTTATTTTTACAAAATATATACATTTTTTTAATTTTTACTCTTTAATGTTTGCATAATTATTAATGTAAAATACAAAGAGAGAGAAAAAATTAAAAAAATATACTTTATATTATACATATATTTTCTATTTTCTTTGTTTGATTTGTTTTCTTTTATTTTTAATTTTATTAATACATAGTGATAACATATCATTATAAAAATATTATACATATTATTAAAAACATATTATTCAGTACTTGAATACCGAGTATTGAAATTATCCTATTAAGCCCTTACACTAGAAGAAAGTAGAAACCCCTTATATGTTAAACCGAGCACGCAACGAAGATCGCCGCGCACAATAAGTAACGAAGTTCCAAGTCAAGCCCAAGTCTTCCAACCTGTACACAAAACAACAATTATAAAGTAACGATATTAAGTACCAAAGTGACTAGTAACTAAAGTAACTAAAGTAACGAGTCCAAAGTAACGAGTCCAAAGTAACGAGTCCTATTACCAAAAGTAACTAGTAGTAACGAGTCCATATAAGTAACTAAAGTTTACATCACTAATCACAAATCAACATTTTTTAATGTAAAGTATTCTAATGAATTTTTTCAACACCGGAAGTTAATATTCTATAAATCTAATTTATATTTTTTTTTGTTTCAGTATGTGGCGATATACATGGTCAGTTTTATGACCTCATGAAATTGTTTGAGGTGGGTGGTCCACCTGCTACTACAAAGTACCTTTTTCTTGGTGATTATGTTGATAGAGGATATTTTAGTATAGAGGTAAGTTTAAGCTGTTTTAGGAATAGAAATTTCTTAATTATTTGTCACACCTACCCTTCCTTAATTCTTTTATTCAAATCACCCCATACATACCTGGTGTTTTTCAAAAGTGGATCACGCCTATAACTTTCATAGTTTTTCAGATAAAAACCGAGATTTGGTATGTTAGTATATGACATAAATCAGGAGTGATTGACGTATTCAAATAGTTTTGACATTACCTGTTTCACCAGAAATGACTACAACTTTTAATTTTTAAATTGTACTCGATATTATTTTATTTTATTTGATAGAAAATGACATTCTGAATAGATATACAGGGTGTTCCTTAATGACATGCTAATATTTAAGGGGGTGATTCTTGGGCCTATTCTAAGAAAAAAACTGCATATGAATGTATCTCCTAAATATCTTAGCTTTTCAGATACAGGGTGGTAAAATTTTCGATTTTTTTTATCAAAATATCTCTAATGTTTTTTGATACACATCTTCGAATCAAAATGCGTATTTTGATATACAAAAAAACGTTTTATTTCTTAATTTCCTTTCAGCCCACGCAGAAACGATTTCCACTCAACAGTCACCAAATCAGATTTTCAGCGATTTGCCCCTGAAGTAAACTGAATTTAATTTTTTTAAACAAAAACTATGCCTCGCATGAAAAAAATCAAGGAATAAAAATTATTTATAAATGAATGGAGATTTTAAAAATAATTTTTATTTTAAGGGAAGTCAGTGGTGTACCAATTTTTTTTTCAAAAATATTCAATGTAAAACCCATATGGACGGCACGACCATATGGTCGAAATAAATGAAATTGTTTGATATCAAAAAAGGTATTTTGATGCATAGAAGACGTGTATCAAGTTTCATAAAGATACCTGCAATAAAATCAGAGTTCTTATATATATTATTATAAAAAAACATTTTTTTATAATATAACTAATAACTATCGATCACCAAAGTAGCATTTCGCGCACTTGATACAAAAATAAATATTTTTCTCAAGCAGCAGCACGTTGTATCCTATGTTATAGGGCTTGTTTCTCTCTTCAATTCCCTGTCTCACAACGTACCGTTTGTGTCCGGGAAGGGTTCATAGTTTCATAGTTGTCGATTTTCGAAAGAAATTATTAGAGTACATGTATATTATTTCGTATATTTTTCATTTTATTGATTTTATGGAAAGCACTGTTCATTAAAATGTTGTATCCTATGTTATAGGGCTTGTTTTTCTCTACAGTTTCCTGTCTCACAACATAGCGTTTGTGTCCGGGAAGGGTTCATAGTTACATAGTTGTCGATTTTCGAAAGAAATCAGTACATGTATATTATTTCGTATATTTTTCATTTTATTGATTTTATGGAAAGCACTGTTCATTATTATAGAAAATTTCACCAGCCTGTATCTCAGAAATTAACGTGTTTAGGTTATTAGAAAAACAAAAAATTATAGGGTCACTTTTGAAACACACCTGGTATATCAGATATTACTGCAGTCCATTTTCCTATGGAAACTAGTAAACCATTTATTTTAGAATCGGTTTATTTTATCCCCTTTAGGTGTTGCCCTACATTTATACTAATTTATACTATATATTAATTTTAAGTACAAAGTTCATCGTTTGATTACAAACTTCAATTAAACGCCATTTTGACTTTGTTTCTATTTGCAGTGTGTATTGTACCTGTGGGCATTAAAGCTGTGTTTTCCAACTACTCTTTTCCTACTACGAGGAAATCACGAGTGCCGGCATTTAACAGAATATTTCACGTTTAAACAAGAATGTAAGTACATAATTATTTAATATGGTTTTTGTTTAATTTTCTTTCGCTTATTCAGTGGCTCCATTTTATACCACCTTTTACCTATTTGATATTTTTAAATTTTCTCTCTCTTCAAAACAGTCCCTATTTTTTAAATATTTTATTGAAATTTGATATGAAAACTAGTTGTATTATTATTAAGGTGGGTAATTAAAAATTACAAAATCAACTTTTTACCAATTACCTTTACTGGTAATATACTCTTAAAATTTGCACAAAAATACTGTATGGTCGAAGAAAATGGCGTCAATTTCCAAACACCAAAGTTACCCCAACTTTTAACACTAGTCTTTCGCAAAAAGCATTTCTTAAGTTCAACGAATATTTATAAGATTATTTATTTATTATTCTAAAAAAATCTTTTATAATTCAGAGCTAATTAGGGTCTGGTACCTTTTAGGTACATCAATATTTTAAAATTTTCTATACAGAATTGAGTAGAGGAACACTTATAATGAGATTTTCTAACGAAAAAAGTGTGGATCGTCCATAAATAACACCAAAAACGAAACCCCCCAAAAAAATGTTGAAACCAAAGCAATCAAAACTCGGTTACGGCGAACGCTTTTAGCATTGTGATCCTCTTCTCAACCTTTAATACAGATCAAAATATAATATCATTCCTATCAACTTAATATCGCTACCGCTATTTTTCAAAATGAATAAGAAAATATAAATAAAACAAAATATCGATTTTCAATATTTGTAATCGCCAGCGATATGCGCAGACGCGAGCAAATGACAAATAAGACAAATAAACTAATTCTGTATTTTCTTTGTCACTCTTATTAAACTTAATAGAGAAAGCTATATTCTAACCTCAAATTTGCTCAAAAAATAAATAATTTTATTGAAGTGATCTCAAACCTTTAGCCGACGATCTGTACTTAAAACGTTAAGACATTAATTAATATCAAATTTACATCAATAACTTTAACAATAACTTCAAGATTGGCGATATACCTAAAAGGTACCATCACCGCTAATTAAATTATTTACTCGTATATCTATAGAGAGATATCTATGAAAAAACAAATGCAACTAATTTAATATCATTACAGTTCTATAAAATTATATCTGTGGTATGATAAAAAAAAGACTGTATATCGTAGTTTTTTTTAGATCATAATCGTCACAATATATCGTATAATTGGCGTCAAAAAAGAAATTCGTCATTTACTGAAATGTCTAAAAACTAAATGAATAAACATTAACAAAAACCGCTTGGATTTTTATGCTGTTGACAATATTGATTAACTTTCATTTACCGACTGTCTTACCTCGAATTTCAGGAAATTCCCACGGTAGTACACGAAAACTGTTCTGTTTCTATTAAACCATATTAAACCAACAATTCGCTAACAAAACAGGTGGAAAACAGTAATAAATCTAGAAATATGCCTACATAGAAACACAAATAATCAACACTAAACATAACCTAAAAGTACAAAATCGCGAACCACACGACATGTTGCCAGATTTCATAGTTTATAGCTTATTACTGTAGGAAGCTTTGCCTGTATACGTCCATTCATACTGTCATTGAGGATGCATATATCATATTGTGTTATGCTATTCCATTCTTCTTTAAAGCGGCCCTCACACGATCAATAATATTGTCAATATTTTGGATTATTGACAATATTATTGAGCGTTTGAGCGTACATATTTTAATACTTTCAATATATTGATGGATTTTCGGGACCCTGAAAATACTCGACAATATTAAAGGCGGAGCTAGTCGTATTGACAATATATTGATCATTATGTCGCATGATTGACAAGAATTGACTAGTTTATTGGTAACCATGGCGGAAGACGGAACATCGCCGTCGTTGTTTTCACCAGTTTTGGGATCGCAATCATCAGCCTTCTGTTTCTTAACGTACTCTAGAAGATTTAGTTAGCCAAACCCCTTTTTCTTTTTGATATCTATTTTTTTATCCAACGCCTTTTTTATAAATTTTTTCCTCGATTTTTTCTCACTTACATATATCAAAATGATTCACACTTAATATCTGCACAAAACTTAATATTGATATATGTATTGACCGTGTCAGGCCACCTTTCAAATATTGATAAAACATTGACAATAAAAAATATTGGCAATATTATTGACCGTGTGAGGGCCGCTTAAGGAAACATGGTTCTGACCGTTTATTATATTTTAGGAAAATCTACACACGAAATTATTGCACAGGGTGTTTTAAAGTTAAGGTAAAAATCAACCCCTCGATTAACGCTGTATAATATAACTAAAAAAATAAAAACTGAGTTTACAAATTAAAGTTGACAAATTTATATACAGCTTGCTAAAAAATTCATGAAAGTGGGGCTAAAAATAACAAAAATATAACACTTTTAATTTGACCAAACATTTTTCCGTTGCGTTTTTTTGCAGCTGAGTGCATATACAGGGTCCGGCAATAGTGCGTCGGGCATCTGTAGCTCATAGAATAAAATACTTGAGAATTTTGTTTTAGTGCAAACCTAAAGTATGTACCAGGATGTATTTCAGGAAAATATTTTAACTACTTTAGGTTGGCTCAAAAAACTGTGAGTGGACCTGGATGATTTTTTTTAAATGGAACACCCTGTATACTATTGCATTTTTGGATTCCTTTCAGATCACTTTACATACACCTAAGATATAAATAAATATATTTCGATAGTTTCAGAGATATTAAAAAATAAATCAAAAATATATATTTTTCAGCCCTTCTTAAAAAAATTATTAAAAATACAAGAACTGTTCTGAAATCAAAACTATATTAGGTATTTACTTTAGATGGTCTATTCTTACTTTGCTATAAATATGGTAATCGTAAATCCTACAGGATGTTCAATATTCTACGTCAAACTTTCTAAATTATAAAATATGTGTTCTTTGTTTTTTAAATGGAACACCCTGTATATTATTTTTTTATTAGATGGAGAGTGTAAAAATGAACATTTTTTGTATTTAGAGTATTTCAAAATTCTTAACGGTTTCGCAGATACACGCAGTATTATTTCATATGGCGCTTTCAATGGTAAAATACGAGAGAAAAATCATTGGGTGGCTTTGATAAAAATTTACTGTGGAAAATGCCATATGAAATATAAAACCGCAAATATCTGCGAAACCGTTAAAAATTTTAAAATACTGTAAATACAAAAAATGTTCATTTTTTAATTCTCCGTCTACTGAAAGAATAATATATAGGGTGTTCCATTTAAAAAAACGAAGAAAAATTATTTTATATTTTAGAAAGTTTGGCGTAGAATTTTGTACATCCTGTATAATTTACAATATTCATATTTATAGCAAAGTAAGTACAGACCATCTAAAGTAAATACCTAATATAATTTTGATTTCAGAACAGTTCTTGTATTTTTAATAATTTTTTTAAGAAGGGCTGAAAAATATATATTTTTGATTTATTTTTTAATATCTCTGAAACTATCGAAATGTATTTATTCATATCTTAGGGTTATGTAAAGTGATCGGAAAGAAAGCCAAAAATGCAATAATATACAGGGTGTTCTATTTAAAAAAAATCATCCAGGTCCACTCACACTTCTTTGAGCCACCCTATAGAAGTTAAAATATTTTCCTGAAATACATCCTGGTACATACTTTAGGTTTGCACTTAAACAAAATTCTCAAGTTTTTTATTCTAGGAGCTACAGATGCCCGACGCCCTATTGCCGGACCTTGTATAAGTGTCCAAAAATAATAATAGTATTATAATAGGTATATGATACAACTATATGATATATACAACTATGTGATCGAATTATATAGTCTTATTAATGGGTCAACCAAGAAAAATAAAAATGCTGGCTATACATTATTTGTCCTGCTAATTCGCATAAAAACAATTCTTGTATACTGCTACTAAGTTGAAATCGTAAAACATTCCACAATATCGTTCCCCCTCTTTTTATTTTTGCCGAACTGGAATCGAAAAATTAAAACATGAAAATTAAACAGAGTTACAACGGCTCGCTCGTAAAAGGTTTCAATTAAATTCTGCCAGAACCGTATTATCCGAATCGAATTATTAAATGTTTTGTATCAAATAACCAGCTGTATTATCTGGTCGGATAAATGTCCATAAAAACCAATTAAAAGTTTGAAAATTCGTTAATTAAAACGAGCATCGAAGCAGAACGAATCATAGTACTTGTATTCATTACATTGATAAAGTTAAGCGTAAAATATATATCCTTTATATAACAGCCGAATTTTTTCATTTCGAAGTGTCGAACTTTTTAATAAAAATCATGTAAAAAATTACTTTATCGATAGTGTTGTTTTCCAAACTATCTCTAATGAAAACTTATCTGAAGAACATATAACCACTAGAATCTAGAATGAAGGGGGAGGGGGGTTAATCACCGAGACCTTAGAGATCTATTGTGTCCCCTGTTGTTTCTTGAGTTATAGCTCATCATACATAGTGTACATAAAGATGTGCATAATTTGTAAATATATGATACCTATTTCTTTAAATATGAAAGAATGAGACATGGTGGACTCATTGAATATTATAAATGGGCATGTTTCATGTTTTTCAATTTTCACGTTATTATGCAGATTTCAACCTAATTAGTGCTTGCTACTTAGCCTTTTTTATATAAAACTTAATATTAGGCCAAAAAATGGGGTAAAAGTTTAAATTTCACACTTACGCGCGCTGCGATAACGTATGTAGCCCTCGCCAATATGATTGGCTGGTTTTCGTCTCGAAATAAACTTGGTGAATGTTATGATGTTGGCAGCATTGCTGTTTATTCAATGTCAAAATGACATTGTTTACTTATTATGTTATTGTTGTTATTGTTTTATTTTATTTTTGATTTTAAATTAAATTTGCATTTAAACTATTTCCAATAATGCTAAAAAATTAACTGTTCTATTGTTGGATAACATTTACCAGTAACTATAATAAAATCTTTTTGTACGCGCCGAAAAA